CCTCGTTGCAGTTGCTATTCCTGCTGCCGTTGCTTTTAGAGCTGAAAATTGTCATTTATAAACTCCGTTGCCAAGTTGCCGTTGATAGTAACTTTGGTGTTCAAATTTTGCGGTATTTAGGGGGATGTAGAGGAAAAGTGGAGGCTTTAAATGTGTTTTTTAAGTTTCTTGTTGTTGAAATAAGTCTACTCATATTAAAAAGAAAAGGTAAAATGTAGCCCCACCCACCCGCCCTATTTCAGTTGTGATGATTTTTTTATTCGTCGTGAGCCAAGGGGGCGGAGCTTAACTGCAAAATCCTTATTTCTCTGCGAAAAATTGAAAACAGTTTTTGAGTATCGTGTTGTTCAAAGAATACTATGTATTCTAAGGAAAAAATAAAGCGGCCCATACCCGCCCCGATATCAATTTTCAATTGTGATGAATTTTTCATTCGTTGTCAGATTGAGGGGCGGGGATTAATTGGAGGATCCATATTTGTCTACAAAAATTCACCATTTTAAATGCCTTTTAAGTTTTTAAGAATAAAAAAAACATCACAATTTAGTGAGGGTGGGTGGGCGGAATTTATATTTTGCCTTTTTGTTTTAATATGTGTAGACTTGTTTACACAACATGAAACTTAAAAAAACAAGTTTAAAATGGAAAATTTGTATAAGGAAATATCGATTTTGCAATTAGGTTCCGCCCCATAATTGCAAAATTTATATTTCCTTGTAAACATTGTAAAAGCAAAATATAAGGCCCGCCCACCCGCCCTATCTCAATTCTGGTGACTTGTTTATTCGTTGTGAGCCAAGGGGGAGGAGATTAATTGCAAACTCCTTCTTTCTTTACAAGAAATAAATAACATGTTTTTGAGTACCTATCGTGTTGTTCAAAGAATACTATGTATATTAAGAAAAAAACAAGTCAAAAATGAAGCACCACCCATACCAATCCCAAGCTCAATTGTGATGAATTTTTCATTCGTTGTCAGACCGAGGGGCGAAGCCTAATTGCAAAATCGATACTTTCCTAAAAAAATTTACTACATTACACGTATTAAAAAAAAAAGGCAATTGGGTTCCGCCTCTCGGTCTGACAACGAACGAAAAATTCATCACGATTGAGATCGAGACGGATGGGTTTTTTTAATCAACACATTTAGTTTTCTTTGTATAACACGATTATTTAAGAATATATTTCACATGGTAATTTTTCATAGAAAAATAAGGATTTTACATTTAAGCTCCGTCCCCTTGGCTCACGACGAATAAAAAAAAATCATCAGAATTGATATAGAGCGGGTGGGTGGGGCTTATATTTTACCTTTTTTTTCTTAATATACATAGTCATCGTTTCACAACAAGAAACTTAAAACATGGTTAAAATGGTACATTTTTGCAAGGAAATACGGATTTTACAATTATGGGGCGGAGCTTAATGCAAAATCGATATTTTCTTATACAAATTTTTCATTTTAAACATGTTTTAAGTTTCATGTTGAGGAAAGAAGTCTACACATATTAAAACAAACAGACAAAATATAAATCCCGCCCACCCGCCCTTTCTCAGTTGTGATGATTTTTTTTTCGCCGTGAACCAAGGGGCCTGGGCTTAACTGCAACATACTTATTTCTTAACAGGAAATTAAAAACATGTTTTTGTGTCCCGTATTGTTCAAAGAATACTGAGTATATTAAGAAAAAAAAAGCAAAATATATATGCCCATCTTGATCAAATAAATGAGAGTTAAGGATAGAGAGTTTGCGTATGCTGACTTTCTAGACTTTATGAAAACTTAAATGCGTATCCCATATCATTTTAATTGATAAAATTAAATGTTATAACAATTGTGTTCAAGAACCTGAGAAAGACAGTTTCATCCGATGCACCACAAGGTTCAGTTTTAGGACCAGTGTGATTCCCTGTATATATTAATGAGTTACACCACAATTACCGCCTCAATTAAAATTTACAGAAACTCAATTAAATACTTGATTGCAGTTATAATTTAACACGGGTTAAAGTATCACGTGACCGACTCTACGCCAATTAGACGTCGCTTCGTTAAATTCGCTTCAAATTCCTTAGGTCCAGCTTACAGAATATTTTAACTGAGATTAAATTAATCACCCATTTAATGAGACGTTTAGCAACGTCTGGTTGGTGTAGGTTAGTCAACAGGCTCTTAATATTATGTTTTATGTTACGTTATCCAAATTTCAAATGTGGTGTTGAGATAATCAAGTAATATTGTAACTGAAAAAATCTTGGCAGTACAAACCGATCATAAATTTTTGTGGTAGACAGACGTCGACTTTATGGCACCAAAACATTGTCTCGTGCACATCTACTTCCTTAGCATTGTGTACTAGAATTTCTCAGAAAAAACTAAACTAGGTATGCTAACAATTTCGTGAGAAAACGGACTGACAAAATTTGTATAAAGTTTTACTTTCTCCACGACAATCTTAAAGCATATTCACGAAATTGTTTCTGTACCACCAACAGACGACTAAGACTCTATTACAACACTTTCTTAGGAATCTTTCGCAAAATATAAACGATAATAATTGGTAGTTGTTTTAAGATCCAAGTTAACAATTTTGTTGTATGAATCAATCGTCATCTAAAGATATGATCAAAAAACGCATAAATTATGTAATGATTTTTGGCAACGAGTTATAATGACAGATAAACTGCATTTGAAGGAGGAGTGTCGTAAAAGCAAAATACGCTCAATGTGTTCCGCCAGAAATGTCATGACTTACACTTTCCCAACTGTTTTAAGAATATTATTTAAACTAAAATTCAGAAGGAGCGAGAGACCAACCAGCTGCATATTTTTCCAAGTGTTATTCCGTGTCCTGGCACTGCACTATTGATTACCAAGTGTTGTAAGCCCTACATGGAAGTGCACAGAACCCTATTTGTAATTCATTTTTCAGGTTCCCGGCAGCGCCTCAAGATTAAATCGGATTTCATGTACTTTGAAAATAATAAAACAATAAGCACAATTCCAGACTTGGGTTTGAATTAGCCTTACATATTCAAATATTGTCTTAAAAACGGAGTAAGATCTGATTTGCTTGCCATATGTCTAAGTAACACACTATTGTTTATTAATTGCAAAAATTTTCATAATCGTTCTTTATGTTTATTTTGAAATTATTTAAAATGTCTTAAGCGCAACGAAACTATCAACGTTGGAGTTTATGCAGAGAACTTTTCTTAAACGTTCAGTTTGATGTAGTTAATTAGTTTCCATAACATTTAATATTGTTACGAAAGAAACCCATATGCCGCCCCGGTACTACGTTCTAGTATGTACGGCGATGATGACTCATCGTCGATGACCACTGCTGCGGAATTTTTAGAAGGGAAGTATGGCTTTACATAGAGGCCACCTTCGGGAAAGATTATTATTATTCAGTCCAGTCCAGTCCAGCGAATCTTGAGAGAAGCCAGCCTAGTTGCGCCGGAATTATTTTGTACATAATCGCTGTGTAATTGGACGTGTAAATTCGAGTTATTAAGGAATACATTGTTGAGTTTTAGCCACGCCGACTTTATTCACCGACCAATGTAACAAAATTATCACAATTTGACTTCACGTCAATATTAAAAAATGTCATAAACTTTACACTCATTGAAAAGGTCGTATTTTAAAAGTAAATTTAAAATTACTTTCACAACATACGAAATTTTAACTGCTATAACAATATTTGTTTTAACAATGCAACGACATATTAGTTTATGCGTTTTAAATTTAAACGTTTTATATGATTTCAAGCAACAAGTAAAATATTTTCTGGCTGTTGAAAAAATGGCACTTAACGCCGATTTTGTATATTTTTACTTGGTAATTCACCCTTTGTTTATACATAAACCTAATGTTGTCTACTGACATACTGACATACTAGTCTATGAGTTATTCGAAACATGACATGTGGTTAGGATTCATTTAATGGTTTTGAGGAAGTTTTGCCAAAGCATTTACAGGGCGGTGTAATTGAAACGGCACAGGATAAGATTATTAATAACTTTAATGTGTTTTGACATTTATTTTACATGTTCTTATAAGTTAAGATTATAATTATGTACGTATTTTTGCTGGAGCGTACAAATTGAGGTGTAGGTGCAGCAATTAATCAAAATTTAAAAATAACACGAGCTGTTCACACTATTTTGTTATCTCTGTAAAGTAAGTAAACAGTATTAAAAGTATGACGTCATAACTTGACTCAGTGTTTCCAAAATTTTTTTCACATAACTTGGATTTACTGAACATTTATACAAAAGTTCCAGTTGTTTACGTTAAATTTCGTAGGCTAAAACATGTAAAACCACATAAACTTTGAAGCTTGTTTAAATCTTGCAGAACATAATTCTAAACAATACATTTTAACTAATTTGGTGCATTTGATGCAAATTAGTTTGCTATGCTAATCGTTCAAATTTTTGTTTTGGTCTTTAATTCCATTCTAGATTTTAGTCGAAATAATGGGACATATCGAGACTCAATATTTTAGGAAATTAAGCAACTCGAACTAAGTTAAGTTTATTATGCATGCATTTATTTACGTCCATTAAAATGTTATAGCATATTAAATTAATGCAGCATAGCAGATACGGATACACGTTTAAGTAATGGGGATGTATATTTAGAATTTTACGATTCAAAATCAACTGTTGGATGAATTTATAATTCCCAAATAATACGTGAGCTGTGTTTATTTTCACTAATTTTTTTGTTTTATTTCTTGCATTCCGCATCTTTTTTTTAGTGTGTCCTACTTTCGTTTGACTCGTAATAACAAAGGCGGTCACATTTTTGACGTTTTTCCAATTAGTTGGTTGACAACGCAAGCACCAATAAAATCCGTGACATCCTTAATTCGTAACAACAATGACGCATCGCTGATGCTATTCTCAGACGACTTGAACTAAATTTGTACCTTAAAACAAACGAAAATCGAGTTATTCTTTTATACTAAAAATATAAACGCCGTCACTGATACTGTACGAGTCTATTTATTGACATCACACCTGTTGTTGGAACTAGAGTTCTGTATTGATTTTGTAATTTCCTATGCTTCACTGACGCTCCAGCTCAGAGATGTCGCCCCGCGTACCGCTCCCTATTTCTTTTGTTTCCCTTTCTTTTTGCCTTTTCCTTTTTGTTTCTTTTCTTTCGGTTTAACCCAGTTCTCAAAAATCGACTGGAAAAATTCATCGTTAGCTGCATCATTCAGTGGGAATAACATGCGCCTATTTTCTTCAGCTAGTCTCCTTTCCTCTTCAAGTCTTTCTTGCTCGAGTTGAAGCCGTTTAAGTTCTGCTTTCTCTTCTTTGGTCGGTTTCTTAGGTTTTGCTTTTTTCGGTTTTTTGCCCTTTTTTGAACCCTTCTTTTTCTTTTTCTTTGGTTTTTTCTTCTGCTTCGCCTTTTGTGGCTTTTTCTTCTTTTCCTTCATCTTTTTCTCTTTTTTCATTTTAGGTTTTTTTAGCTCTTCTTTCAAGATTTTTGGTATTCTCCATTCCTGATTGACGTTTTGCGTTATTGAAAAGAACGTGTTTATGAGGGCTGATTTAATAATGGTATACTGAAAACCTTCGTGAAAACTAAACCGAAATGTTTTGCGTTCTTTATGAAAATCACTTACTAGTCATACACAAATTGCTTGATCGCAAACAAAGCACAACTATTAATTAAAATTTTCATTTCAGTATCGTAGATTAGTTCTTTACGATCTTCTACGTAGTCTTTCCATTCGTTTACAATATCATCTTCTGGATGTATTTCTTTCGAATGCATTGAAATTAACTCTTCTAAATCAATTTGTTTGTCCCCGTCACAAACTTTCTTTACATCGTCAGGGGGAAGACTAGAACGTCGCCACAGAAATTCTACAATAGAGAATGAAACAATAAAAAAAGTCGTTGTTACATTACTTGGGTTCGTAAAAATGGATAATTCATCGCCTTCGTCTGAAGTTGTTGATGAAGAAAAAGATAAAAGTGATTGAAATCTTTCGGGAACATTTCGATCAGGTTGGTAGAATTCTACCAACTCTTCACACCCGCACAAGCTTTCTGTCGACAGATCTTCTGAAGTAGTTGTATTTGTGGAAACGTCAACTACAAACAAAAAGAAATTTAGTTAACCTAAAATTTGGTTTCAAATTTACCTTAAAAAATTTCAAATTGAAAATCATGTTCATGCATACATTGCTCAATGAATTTCTTAATTCAGAAAAATGCTTAATTCAAATAAAAAGTATCTGGTGTTTTTATTTTAATCAGTAAAATAAATTGCTGCATTCATTAATTTTTTGAATCCCTTTGTATATCAATTATAAAAACGACGAATTCATTGATGAATTGCTAGTACAGGCTCATAGTGTTTTACATACTTTAGGCAAGATTTGTTTAGTAAAATTTTGAGACAACGTAATCAAGTTTTTGGCGGGGATAAATATAGATTCATTTTGATTTTTTTTTCAGAAATTTGGTAAGTAAAAACTAAAGGCAAATTCATAAATGATAGGTATAGAAGTATGATAGGTGATACACCATAAATAGACAGAAACGGAAGACTTATTTTTTCATACACCGGGGAATATGAAACGTCAAGAAAATTTGAAAGTGTCCATTCGTCAGAGAGACCTTACTACAACCGGTTTTTAACTTACGCTCGGGAATTAAAAAGAACTGAATGTTTGACTTTCTAGTTTTATTTTTGTATAATTTGTTTAAATCTTAATATTAGAGCACTGCATTATTTTATTTAGGTATTTAAAAAAAGTTGTACTTTTATAAAATTCGTTTGATTCATTAGCCATTACTTCTCGATCGTAAGCTAAGGAAGTATTGTATATAAACAACACTAAAGTATCCGCTAATGGCTACTTTGGTGTTTTCTAGACATTTCGTGACCCGTACAGTACAAAAAATACACTTTTAATATTTGATGTAAATTTCTAATGGTTATAAGTATTCAATCGACTAAAAATTCGTCAACAACACTTTTAACACACACTTAGCTAATGACATTTTTAATAACCTCGTTTTAGTTCACTTTCACTTCAGTGTTTTGAACTAAAAGTTAAATGTTGCCGGTTCAATAAATCTTTATCTCGAACATAGTAGAAATGTATAAGGAAATGGATGACGGCCTAAAAGAGAAATTTGTAGAAGTCAGAACTTACAAGGGAACGAATTATAGAAACAAACATCCAGTCTAATTGATAGTTTTAGATTTCGACCAAACACTATTTTTAATCTGACCCTTACTTACATTTGTAGCACTTTTTCGGGACCTTTGGCATCTTGAAAACCTCCACGCTCTCATCGATTCCAAGGGCCACATAACTCTCCCCACCTTCCGTTAATGAAACGCTCGAACATTGTCCGCTTGTCGAACCAAAACTGATTTTCTCCTCCTCCTCCACACTCCCATCTTGCACCATTGTGAATAAATCGTCCGGTGTCGGCAACATTTCACACCCAGCTTGCACCTTTTCGTCAGCTATTATCAGCGCTTCGTTGAAAATCTGAAAAAACTCCTTCCTCGAAAGATTCCTTTGCGGATCTGCGAAATCCTCAAATCCAACTTTCCTGATTAGATTATTTTAAACAAACAAACCTCTAATCAAATCGAATACGTGCAGAATCCACTCGACGATAATCTTTTGGTAGCGCTCTGGAAATTGAAATTCATCTTGTACCTTCCACAAACAGTCGGTGATGACGTCCAGGAACCAGAACTGGACAGCGTTGTATTTGTAATCCAAGCAGGAGAAGTGTTTGCTGAGGATATCGATGGAAGCTTTGACACCGACTTCGCGGATGTACGGCAGTTTGAAGTCGGCGAGCTTGGGAAATGGGCGATTGATCTGGGACAGCTCATTGTTGAAGGCAAAAGCGTCACTAGGAGTTACTGGGGGTACAGTTAAGTGGAGGCTGTCTTCAGATGGTGAATTTGTAGGGGCTTTGCTGCTGTACGAAGTGAAACTTTCAGAGTTTTCTACGTGACTACTTGGTTTGGAGCCGAAGGACGAACGAGGTGTCACTTTCAAGGGGATTACAGGCACATTTACTACTTCCATATCAAATTGTCCTTGTGGTTCTGCCATTTTGAAAATTCACCGAAGTTTTTACTTTAGCCTAATATGACAAGCTGACAAATTCTGAAACATTTAAATTGTCATTGCTTTTTATTGTTGATTGTCACTGTCGATTACTGCTAAGCTTTAGTGCTATCAGTTATGTTTAATGACTATGCTTGGAAAAAGAGACTTGGAAGAAAGTTTGCATTCTGATGGCAACTGATAAAGGAATGAATAAATTGAATGCAAACAGTTGTATATAAATAGAAGGTGCATGTAAACGACAAAAAAAGGTCATTTGCGTCAACAATTTCAGGAGATTCGTACATTGTAAGCTTCACTTCCTCAGATAAGACTGATTTTGGCAAACGCCATACTCTATCAGAACATAGGGGGCGGGTGGGTGGGCCTAGTATTTGCAAAGTGAAACTTATTTTGGCAAATGACATAAAATGTGAGAAAATAGAGGGCCAGCACTTACTAAGATAACACATTCTTAATAAAATATATTTGGGCCCCCCTAGAAGGTTTCACATGTTTAAAACATTGGTCAAAAGTTGTTTCGACAGAATTTTCCTCGCTCCTGAAGTGCAATGAAACATATCCAGCATTTTCGTGTTGAGTTTTTTCTTTATAGATTTTTGCAATAGCCACAATTGAGTGTGGAAAAATTGTGGTTAACACTTATATAGTCACTTATACGTTGTGATAACTCAAACTTCCCGCCTTAGATTGACCTTGAAAAAGTTTGGAAGGCTCGCGAAAAATTTAAAAATTCAAATTTGACCTTGGTTGTGATCGTCTAATAAACGGAAAACCCACGTTTTTTTTTGAAAAGTGGCGGGAAGACGTTCTTTCATACAAGTGAGCATACACTGCGTGCGAGTCGAGAGCGCAAGAAATAATAGACAAAATTTGTTTGGAGGGGGCTAAAATTCGCACCCCCTCTCTAGGAGGAAAAGACCTGCGAGCATTCACTCCTCAGTCCAAAAACCCCCTATCGTATATTCACCGACATATTTCAAATGAAACATCTTAAAAATATGAAAGACACACGCGAATTGACAGACATACACATATGAAAACCGAACAAACACAACATCCTACACATATGTTTTGAATCAATGCAAACATTCGCATATGAAATGTTTCAAATTTAATCAAACAAAGCAAAATCTGAATTAAAGTAACTGGATGCAAATACGCAAGTTATTACGGACGTGTGGCGTCAAATTGAAAATTATGGCAGTTAACAGGAGCACAACAAAAATACCCATGGGGCGTTCTAGCACAAGCGGAGTTTGGGGCTACCGGTCGGGGCTGTTCTCCCCTCACGACGGTGATTCTATCTATCGCAAGCCTACCGCCAAGAAGATCTCCATGACGAACATGCCGACGAGACTAAGCCGTTACGATCGTCAATCCGCAGTTGGGTCTCGATTATTGGGCCAAATCCACAGCGTTGCAACACCGGCGACCGCCCCTTACTCTATACAAACCTGCAGCCTTGTGCAAGTGACGTGGTAAATCTCGCGAGCTCGACTAGGAACCGCTTCGCTTCTGCCACGTTTTCTGTATTATTTAACCTCGATTCCATTTTTTTTATGTTCAATTTCTTGTAACTTTGATATTAACAACAACTGAACAAGTGTTAAAGTTTCAAAAGAGCAATAAACAATATTTAAATTCGCTGTACAATCTTGTGAAATTTTAAACAACAAATAATTCTTATGCGAGATTCAAATTGGACATCAAATAATTTATACGATGGAAACGTTCATCAACAAAATATTTATAAAACAAAACTATCAATGATTTATAAAAATAAAAGCTCTGGTGTGAAATAAACTTGTGCAAATAATAGTATATTTTGCAACAAGAAGTGAAAGTCATACTTTTTTCGTGAGTTGAGTATTGTTTCACGAGTCGCGCAGCGACGAGTGTAACACACTCAACGAACGAAAAAATTGACTTTCAGTTCGAGTCGGAAATGCTATTTTTTCTGCGACAAAAAACATACCTAACTACATACAAATTTCAGGAAATTTTATTTTGTAATATATTGAAAATTACAGTAATAATAATTATGTACAACACCTGCTGCTTTAGCATTATTTTCTTTTTTATTAATTATTGATGAAGGCACATTGTCTTCAAGTGCATGTGATGCAGGAGGAACCTCTGCTTCTGTTATTTCTGTCTCCTTAGGTGACAACGAACCCTCAATAGGTGGTAAACTTCCGATATTTTCTTTGCTAATCTGTAATGAATCCAAATTTTTTTTCCCTCTATTAATTTTGTTAGTAATCGAATCTTCGATGTATTGTTCAGCTACAGAACTCGATTTCCATCCGCCGTGCTGCTTTATTTCAGTCATGTTAGCACCCGTGTTTGCAAGAAGTGTCGTGGAAGATCTCCTTAGAGAATGGCCAGTATATAACTGTGAATCTGGTAATTTGAGGAATTTAGCAATTTCTTTTGGAACAGATGCAAATTTATTAATTCCAATAACTTGTCCGGGTGCACTTGTTGTGTTGGTAATTCAAAAAAAATCTACGAGTCGTATTGTCTATTCCTTGTGGACGAAGATTGATGTATCTCTTGCAGATTTTATAATGGGTATTAACAATTGTAAATGAACGAGGTAAATTTGTTTTTGCCTTTGGAATAGTCACAAATAAAGCGCTTCTTAAATCTTGAACATCTTGAATTTCTAAATCTTTTAATTCATGTGAACGACAGGCCCCACAGATCCCAAATATTAGAGCAACCTTCAAATAGTCTAGTATGAAACATTATAAAACACAACCTCAACTCAACTTACCTTCGTGAACAAGAATTTTTCATCATTTGCTTTATCGATAAACAACTGAATTTGTTCCGAATTCAATACTTTTGCCTTTTTAGATTTGAAACCCGTCGACTTCCGTTTTAGAAAAGTTTTTAATTTGAGGTATTTAGAAATATCAACATCATGTTTCAGACTTATTACACTTCGTAGCATGGAATACATGCTCCATAATGTGGAGGGCTTCAGACTGTTTGACAATGTACCGAAATAAGCCATCAAGACATTTTCGGAAAAAGATGTCACTCGGTTGTCCTTCCGCCAAGTTATAAATTTTTCGTATACAAACTGATATCTCTGTTGGGATTTTTGTTGTAAGATATCATTTGAAGCGGATGTTGCTGCTTGTATCACACAAGGTGGTGTGGAACTACGCGATTCTTCTGAATCAGACATGGCTTTTCTTTTTCAATAAATTAGGAACACAATTTGAAACCTAATATGTCATTACGAAATAAAACAATCACGTAGAATAAACAATATGACTACTTGACTAGCGCTACTGGTTGCTTAAACGTATGCAGATCTTGCTGCGTCAAACATTTTTGTTTAATTTTTATTCAAATTTATTAATCAGTTTTAATCAATTTAGTTTCAATTTAAATAGGTAGTCATATTTCATTTCTTAACAGTTGATCAAATTAAAAAAAAGATACTTACATTTTCAGTGGATTTAAACTTTAAATTTTCACTTTTCACATAGCAGTCCATGGTTACTTTCGCTTCTAGAATGAATAAGTATTTTCACTTCTAGAAGTGAAAATGATGTTTTCGTTAAGGGTAAACGATGGGAAAAAGTCTACTTTCATATATAGGAGTAGAAAAAAATATTATGTGAGGTTAAAACTGCAGAGCATGAAATTTACGTTCAATGAAAATTATACAACAAAGAAAATTACTAAAGTTAAAATTGTGAGATAGAGAAATATTGTATGAGGTGAAAAATTGCAAAGTTAACTAAATTTACATGTCTAGTTGATGTTATCAATCTCTAGCGTTGCGAGGACATGCTTCGACGAAATAATCAATCTGTAGCGTTGTGAGGGCATGCCCCGGTGACGTAGTCATTCTATGTCGTTGCGAAGACATGCCTCGATGAAGTAATCAATCTTTAGCGTTGTGGGGGCATGCCCCGGTAATGTAATCATGATAACGATGATAACCACGTAAGGGAACAAATTATTTTAATCCCCCATCAGTTCGCGGTATGAATTTTGTTAATTTAACTGCCGTAAATGAACTATTAGCAATCTTGTACGAAGAATTAAGAAGTGTTATAATGTAACATTTACGTATATGCATCCAAAAACCTATTCGTAGTTTGTTAAACAAAGAATTATTATCCTGACTAAATTAATTTCACGAAATCTCCTAGTAAGTGGTTTATTTAAATACTCCTGATTGTTAAATTGTGTTAGCACTAGACGACGATTAACTCCTAACCTGAACTGTGGATTTACAACAATAAAACAAATTTACGTGACGTGGTTCGCGTTAAACGAAAGTCCGCACTTTTTCCGATTAAAAGGCCGCAAGAATTACCCGCGCGGATTGGGGAAACTGGGCGACGTCGGTTACGATTGATTGTCGCTAAACAAAGGCTTCATCCCTTTTATTAACTACCAAACCAGCTAATTTAAACCTAGCTACTTACAGGTCCTTTCACCATGCATTCACTACACCGAACCGAAACATAATGACTCACGCTTTCAACATGCCGCCCTCTAATTAAACATGCAGAACTAACCCCCACGTGCATATTTGGTTGCCTATGTTCAACGATTTCTTTTTTTGTGATTGAATTTTTTTCCTTTGAAATTCAAATTATTCAAATGTGATTTCGCGCCGCTGTTAATTAATTTCAATGCGAAAATTTTACTTTCTCTACATTACAACTGTCACTTGTGTCATTGTTTTGACACTTAAATGCAGTAGCTAAAGCTTAAAAATTTTGACAAATCCAGTGTAAGTTGTCAATGAAAATCCACTTTGTTGTTAAGTTTTGTCTGTTTTTATATAAAGAATATTTCCGGATTGAGTTTAGGAAATGATTTCTTTTACTCCTATTTATTATTTTACAAAAAAAAAAAAAAAAATCAAAATTGTCTGTGCCTCAAGACATGCACGTACTCATCTTATAATGCTTTCTTTGATATTTTCAAGCATTCTAGTGTTTCATCTGCAAAATTCTTAGATAAATTAATCTATTTTTTCAAAATTAAAGATATTA